ACCCACGTGCCTCGCCCAGCCATCCTGCGCCTGCCCTCCACCCCACTTGACCAACCACCAACACCCCAGGCACCCACCCGCCATCCCAAGTCCCCTCACCCACCCACACTCGCGCACCCACGTCCACACCCTCACCCACCCACCCACCCACCCATTCAGGCGCCCAAGCGCTCACACCTGTGTAGACGTGGAAGGGGCGGCTGGAGAGGTCCACCCGTGCCACCGTCTCCGAAAAGATCTTGGTGCCAAACCGCAGGCTCTGTGCGCGGAACCGCTCGCAGATCTCGCCGCCCACGATACCCTCGGGGAACCCCGGGAAGTTCTCCACCTGCGGAGCCCAGGGAGTGGGAGGGAGGAGGTGGAGGTGGAGGCGAGGCAAGGAGGGAGGCGGGCCGGGAGAGGCGGCAGCCCGCGGCGCAACCGCGAGAACAGCGGCGGTGCAGGGGAATCGGGCAGGTGGTCCCGTGGCTGGGCCTGTTGGTGGAAAACACGCTGGGAATGCAGGAGGCTGCAGCACCCGCCTCGTGAGTGGTGGTCAACTGGCCGCCGGCGGCGATGCCGTTTGCGAGCCACCCCTCCAGCATGATTGGCTGCAGCTCTGCAGGCGGCAGGGGGCTTAAGAAGAAATGTGACACAATCGATCGATGCAATTGAAGAGGGAGGCATACACAAGTGCAGGCCCTCCAGCCCAGGGGCAGGTGGTCCCAACCGCGTGTGAGTGGCGGCAGTCGGGTGGCGGCAGCTGGGCCCTGGCACCGCCCACCCCAGCGTCCGTCGCCTCCCTGCACCATTATCGCCCTGCCGGCGCCCAGCCCCACCTGCGCGTGCGGCGTAGATGGCGGCCGTGTGGCCAGCGGGGCCGGAGCCAATGATGCAGACTTTGGTGCGCAGTTGCTCCACCGTCATGGCTGCTGCTGTGGTGATCAGGCGGTCAAATGAGCGCCTCAGCGTGGACAGGCTGGGACCCGGCGAAACGTGGGCAACCAGAGGGATTACTTTGAACCGGTGGCGGTCAGCGGGCGGGTGCGGGGATGCAGGCGTTAATCAGCAATGGGCGGGCCGCGATAGGTGGGGCTGCCTGCGAGGGACCTGAGGTTGCATGGGCTGCTGCCTGCTGCGCCCTGCATGGAGTTCCCCCTCTTATCATCGCCAAAGGCGCCATCGCCGCTGAATTGGCGTACACACCATTGTCTGCATTGCATCAAAAGCGATTGCACAGGTCTGCGACGGCTGCTCGGGCCATCTGCACTCCCACCCCTCCCTAGCACGGCTCCAGATGGCAGCCACAGTCGCTGCATTCAGCAGCCAAGCCACAATGCGGCATGGCCGCCTCGTGCGGGTGGCAGCCGAGCGGCAAGGGCCGCCGGTGGCGGCGCCGCACCATAGGCGGCCGGCGTGCCGCCATCAGCAGCAGCATCAGCATCATCATCAGACACAGCATGCGCAGCATTCCATGACGCGCCGCAGCCTACTGGCGCTGCCGGCGGGGCTGGCGGCGGCGGCGGCGCTGACCGCTCCCCTCCCCGCCGCCGCGTTTGTCATCCCGCCGCCCGGCTACCGCTACCACGAGGATAAGCTGGACGGCTATTCCTTCTTCTACCCAGAAGACTGGCAGCCCGTCACGGTGGGTGCATGGGCCCTGGTCTACCCCATCATCTCCCCCACATCTCAACGCAGCAGCCATGCGATCGCTTTCTCCGCGCCGCCGTGTCCCCAGACAGTGCCTGCTGCTGCGCCCTCACCCCCTCCCCCAGCCCGCCTCACCCGCCTGCCCGCCCGCCCCTCGGCGTGCAGACCTCGGGCAACGACGTCTTCTTCCGCAACCCTTTCAATGTGGAGGAAAACCTGTTTGTGAACGTCTCCTCCCCTTCCTCTTCTAAATACGAGACGGTCGCCGACCTGGGGGCCCCCGAGGAGGCCGCCACCCGCACCGAGCAGCAGGTGTGCGGGGCTGTGGCCTTGTGCCGGGCGGCGCCGCTGCGTAAGGCCAGGGAGCGTCCGCAGCCCTGAGCATCGCTGCCTGGCAGGGCCTGCTGCCTGAGCCTTCCAGTGTTTCCTGGTAGCCTCTCACTGCCGTTGCTGCTGCCGCCGCCTCCCATGCCTTGGTGGCTGCGCCGGGCTGCTGATGGTACTGCCTGGCTTGCGTCTGTACTGCCATGTACCGCTGCAGTACCTCGAGGAGTTCATGTCCACCCGGCTGGGGGTGAAGCGTACCGCCGAGGTGGTGGCGGCGTCGCAGCGTACCGCCCCGGACGGCCGCCTGTACTACGACACACAGACCCGTGTCAAGTCCTTTGCCTCCCGCAACCAGCTGGCCGTCACGCAGGCGGAGATCGATGAGGGGTGAGCCTTGCCCGCCTTCTTCTGCAAGGTGGCTGGCGGGGGTGCAAACTGGTGCCACCCACTACACCTTGCGCTCCGCCTGCTCGTGTGCGGCACTCTCAGCCAACCGCACGGGCACGAGGCGCACGCGCGCCTGCCACCGCGCAGCCGCGCCCCGCTCACACTCGCCGCCGCCCGCTGCTCACGTGCCGCGGCGTGCAGGGTGGTGCTGGAGTGGGACCGCCGCTACCTGGCCGTGCTGGGCGTGGCGGGGCGGCGGCTGTACGAGTTCCGCCTCCAGACCTCCAACTCCGCCTACGAGGCCGACGCCGACCGCCTGCTCACCATCGCCACCTCATTCCGCTGCAGAGACGTGTGAGGCGGCTGCGGCGGCGGCGCCGCTGCCGGCGTGGCAGCGCCTGCCTCGCATCTGCCCCTTCTAGCCACCCTGAAACGAATGATGATTTCCCAGCCGCTGTTCTGACCCCTGAGTGTCTGCCGCGCCCCCGGCTGAACTGTGAATGCCCCGTGGCACAACGTCCATAGCGTGGGAGGTGCAGAGCAGCATGCCAGCCTAGGTGGTTGCATGGTTGCTGTGCCATTTACAGCAGGCAGCGCCCGCTTATGAGCAAGCAGATGCAGCTTGGGCAGGACCTAGGGAATCCAATGTAGTGACCGATCTAGACGCGTGGGTTGGTGAGGCTCTGTGTGTTAGGGAGAGGCATACTGCCAGGCATGGGTATGGCACGGCGGGTCCAAGTCAGAACGTACTTTGCTTGTCTGGAGCCGGGCATGAAATGAGTCGGGAGGAAAAAATGGGTCAAAACCCGGTCTGTAACCGCGCTTGTGCTGAGCGGCCCGCAGGCGGGCAGGCAGGGGGCGCTGCCAAGCGCCTCCCGGCTGCAGGCACCGGGGGGCCGCCGGCGCCGCATGCTGCGCCCCCGCTACTGCTGCCCGCCGGCAAAGCTGCCTGAGGAGCTCGGCTTGCTCTTCATCGGCTGCTGCTGCCCCTGCTCCTGCTGCTGCTGCTGCTGCTCCTTTGGCTGCTCCTCTGCCACGTCCCCGGTGTAGGCATCGTCTTTGCCGCCACCCAGCTTCTCCTCGATCTGCCCGCACCGCCTTGGCCGCGGCCCCCTCCTCATCCTCCTCCCCCTCCCCTCCCATCGACGCCGCCACATCGTCGCTGCCGCCGCCCACCATGGCGTTTGCGGCAGCAGCCCCCGCCGCCGCCGCCGCCGCCCCCGCCGCCATCGCCAGCTCTAGCTCGCCGCCCAGCGCGGTGGCGGCGGCCGCCACGGCGGCCCCCGCCGTGCCCGCGGCGCCCGCCGCGGCCACCGCGCCGCGCCCCAGCGCCGCCATCGCCGACGCCGCCTTGCGCTGGTACTCTATTTCGTCGTTCTCCGCTTCCGCCTGCAGCTCCGCATCCCGCAGCTCCCGCTTGAGCTCATCGTACTTCATCATCAGGTCCTGCCGCCGCCCGGTGAACTGGGAGGGGAAGAAGCCGGGGAAGTAGCGCTGGATGAAGCCAAAGATGAGGACGTGGCCCTGCAGGCGGTACAGGCAGGCGGTACAGGCAGGCGGTACAGGAGGTCAAGGCGGGGACAGCAGGGCGGCGGTGGTGGATGGACAGGTGGCTGGGCTGGCAGCGGGCAGCAGGCAGGACAAAACGGCACTACGACAGGAGCAGAGCTGGGGCCGACAAGGTACTGGTCAGCACAGGCCGGCCGGCAGCGCCAGCTCTGCATCGGGAGCAGGCGCAGCGGCCCAGGGACCCACCACGGGCGTGAGGGGGATTATGAGGATGATGGTGAAGGGCACAAAGGCCAGCAGGTCGCGCACGGTGCGCCGCAGCGCTTGCACCTCCCGCGGCTTCAGCGTGCCGCCTGCAGGGCCCACGGCGCAGGCACGCGGCAGCACGGCTGGGGGGAGGGTGCGGGCTGGGCAGCAGGCCGGGCAGCGCCTGCAGCTGCGCCGCCGGCCCAGGCCGAGCGAGCAAGCGTGCGCCCTGGCGCCTGCCTCGGCAGCGGCAGCATCGCCAACGCCGCCGCCAGGAAAAAGGCCGCGGCAGGCGCGGCGCGACTCACCCCGCACCGCGCGCCAGAACAGCTTGCCCGCTGATCCGATGTCAGAGAACAGCAGCTTGACGCCGCGCACGCCAAACAGAACGCCATCCACAATCTTCACCACCCCCTCCCGGATCTGAACGGGGTAGAAAGGAAGGGGTAGAAAGAGAGGCGGGGTGGAGCGTGTGGCAGCGGATGTGGCGATGGGTGGAGGCAGCGCAGGGCAGGGGTGGGGGCGCCGGGGCGGGGCTACGGCAGGTGGAGCGTGGCAGGCGCGCAAAGTGCCCTTCCTCCCAGGGCAGGCCACGCCACCACAGATCCTGCTTGCCTCCCAGCCGCCAACGAATCAAGCCGCCCACCACCCGCCCTCCCACCTCCCCGCTACCCCGCCAGGGCCCCAACCTGCCCGCCAACCGCCCTCCCACCTCCCCGCACCACCTCCCCAGCCAGGGCCTCACCTGCAGCTGGACCTTGACCAGGCTGAAGCCGGTGCCGCCAAACACCTCGGTCTCGCCGATGCCCAGGCGCATGCGCAGGTCGGGCACGTCTGTGGCCAGCCTGGACAGCTCGGCGTCGTCGATGAACAGCGCCTCCTCCGCCTCCACCGCCGACGCCATGCCCGCCAGCTGCTCGTCCAGCAGGCGGAACTCTGCGGGGGGCGGCGCGGGCGGCGGTTGCGTGCTGATGCGCGCGCGTGTGTGTGTGTGTGTGTGTGTGTGTGTGTGCGGATAGAGCACGCCAAAGGGTGTGTGCAAGTGAGTGAAGGTGGGGCACGGCACAGGATATGCATACGCAGAATGGATGGCACCCTCAGCCCCCACTCATCGAGCGGCTGGAGCCACGCAAGTCGCCCCAGGCCCGCCGCGCCCGCCCGCGCACCTGCCACCAGCAGCGCCACCTCGTCGCTGCTGCCGCGCCGGCTCAGCGCCAGCTTCACCTCCCCCTCGCTCAGCCCCTTGGCGCTGCTGTCCCCCACAATGTCGCGCGCCTCGTCCTCCAGCGCCCCGCACACATACTCCATCTCAAGCTGCAGCGTGCGCACCTGCGGGGGTGAAGAAAGCAGATAGGGGCGAAGTCAAAACCAGGGGCGAAGTCGAAACCAGGGGCGAAGTCGAAACAACAACACCAACGGCAGGAGCGGTGACAGCGGCGCGGTGGACAAGGAAGCGAACGCACAGCAGCAGCAGCATGGTGAGCTGGGGCTGTGGGTAGGGGTGGGGGCGAGAGAGCAGGGAGCGCCTAGGGTGCAGAGCGTCGGCGGCGCCGCGGCAGCCTACGCCAAGACGCGGCAGCGAGCAGCGGCCGCAGCGGCAACACCAGCGGCGGCAGCAGCGCGCCATGCAGCAGCATAATCAAAAACTGGTGTCTATGCCCGCGCCCGCTCACCGCCAGCGCCTTGGACAGCGCGGCGATGGCGTTGTCCATGTCCCGAAGCTCGCTGGCCATGCGGGCCCTGCCCTGTATCCCCGCCTTGCGCAGCCGGCTCTCCCGCGCCTTGCTCGCCTCCTGCAGCTGCTTCTCCAGCGCGTCCAGCTGCAGGTTGAGCTGCTGCACCGCCTGCTTGCGCTGCTCCTCCGTGCTGGTGGTGGGCAGCGGCAGGCCAAAGGGCGAGGCGTCGCGGCCCAGCGCCTGCCCGGGCGCGCCGTTCAGGCGGTTCCACAGCCCCTTGGCCCACACCGCGCCTGCGGGGGTGCACGCGGGCAGGCGGGAGGCAATAGGTTTGGTGGCGGTGCCGCGCTCGGGGCTGGGGGGCGGAGGCCGGCACCAGCCCAGCCCTGGCAGTTAGCGGGCAGCCAGCAGCAGGAAGCGGAGCGGCAACGGGGCTAGCAGTGGGGCAGGCATCGGGAGCGCGTCAGGCGCATTCCAGGCAGCGCGGCGGCACGCACTCGTCTTGAGGCCCTGCACCACCCCCTCCGGGCTGGTCTGCTTGACACGCGCCACCGCGGGCTGCAGGCGCCGCGCCACAAACTGCTCCGCCGCCTTCTCCGCCTTCACCAGCCGCTCCGACAGCGGCGCCTGCGGCGGGCGGTCGCCTTGGTCCACACTGCTGCCCGCCACGCCGCCGCCGCCGCCGCCCTCGCCAGGTTCCCCGGGTGACCAAGGGATGGACAGGCGGAACCGGGCGTTGCGGGCGTCGATGGCGGCGTGGGCCGCCGCCTCGCTGGTAAAGGGCAGGTGCGAGACCTCCACCGCCGCACGCTGCGCCAGCTCGTCGTACAGCGCCGCCACGCGCTGCTCCAGCTCGGCCGCCGCCGCCTTGCCCGCCTCCTCCCGGAACAGCCGGCTGAAGTCGTAGGAGCAGGCCTTGAGGGCGCGCAGCCCCGCCTTGAGCTGCTCCGCCGTGAGCTCCATCTCCGCCACCACCTCCACCGCCGCCTCCAGCCGCTGCGCCTCATCCGCCTCGGCCGCCGCGGCTGCTGCCACCGCGTCTGCGGAGCCGTTGCCCTCTTCCGGGGCGGCTTCCGGCGGCGGCGGCGGCGGCTGGTACACAGGCGTGGGCTCCACCACCAGCGCCTCGGCTCGCAGCAGGTTGCGGTACAGCTTGCGCAGCTGGATCATGCTTTCCAGCCGCGCGCCGCGCTCGTCGCTCTTGGCCGGCTCCTCACTGACTGGGGCCGGGGCCGCGGAGGGCGTTGCCGCGCGTGGGGCGCGGCACGGCCGCCTGCAGGCCGTGGTGGTAGGTGTTCGGGGCACGAGGGTGCACGGCGGGCGGGCGGCACCGGCAGCACCCAACAACCGGGTGCAGTGCACTGGCAGCAGGTCCGGAAGTGGCAGCTGAGATGCATGCGGATTGTGTCCTTGCCTGCTGCTGGTTGCTGGGCTGGTATGCCACACTGGCCGTGCGTTGGCCGCCCGCCGCTGGCAGCCGGTGGCGGCAAATGCTTCGCTGCCTGCATTGGCGGCCAGCTGCTGCCGGCCGGCTCTGATGCACCTGCGGGCGGTGGTGGGACCGACGGGCGATGTGGGAAGGCGGCAGGCGGTGGGGGAAGTGTTGTTGGAGAGGCAGCCCAGCAGGCTGGCACCAGCGTGCTGCACCTGTGGGGCGCCTGCAGTCGGGCAGCGATCGTGCTGGGCCTCCCAGGCGCGCCGCGGATGGCCCCGCAGGCCGTCATCGCTGGGTTGGCCAACGAGTCGAGAGGTCGGGGGTGGGGGCAGCTGTGAGGAAAAGGGGTGTCCACCACTGCAATCCCTGCCTCCTGGGGGATGTCGTGCGACGAAATGCACCGCTGCAGCGATGTCCCCGCCCACACTCGTCCTGCCGGAGTACTGGCCTGCCGCTTCGAGAGGCGCCCTCGCGACCCCTGCGACCCCCGATCAGCGAACCCTGCCTACCAGCAGAGCGTGTGCACTGCAGGGCCCCAGCCACACTCACACTGCACAGCCGGGCTCCGCAGGGCGACAGGCGTCTGAAGAGGCAAGCAAGGTGGTAGCCGGCACTCTCGCTGCTTTATTGGGGCGCAGCGGCCAGCAGGCAGGGCAGGAGCCAGGCCGCTCCCGCCTCACCGCCGTGGCGCCGCCGCGCCGCCGCCGCCGCGCAGGGCCCCCGCGCCGCCGCCATGTCCACCGCCGCGCGCAAGCGGCTCATCCGCGACTTCAAGCGGCTGCAGCAGGACCCGCCGGAGGGGGTGAACGCGTCGCCGCAGGCGGAGAACATCATGCAGTGGAACGCCATCATCTTTGGGCCCGACGGCACCGTCTGGGATGGCGGCGTGTTCAAGCTGTCGATGGAGTTCTCGGAGGACTACCCCAACAAGGCGCCCGTGGTCAAGTTCAGGACCCGCATGTTCCACCCAAACAGTGAGCGGGGCCGCTGCCGCATGCCATCGCTCGGGCTCAGGCAGCCAAAGCCCTCCTGCGTTCCTCACACCCTCTTGTCTCACTCCCTCGCCTCACACACACCATACACAGCATTGTACACAGCATTGTACACAGCATTGTACACAGCATTCCCGTGTTGCTGCAGTCTACGCGGACGGCGGCATCTGCCTGGACATCCTTCAAAACCAGTGGTCTCCCATCTACGACGTCTCCGCCATCCTCACATCCATCCAGTCCCTGCTGTCAGACCCCAACCCCAACTCCCCCGCCAACTCCGAGGCGAGCGCCTGCTGCCGCGCTGGGGCCTGCTGCCGCCAGCGCATGGCTGTGTGGCAGTGCTGGCGGTGGCCTGCTGCCTGTTGGGGGCGATGCTTGCTCCTCCAACGCGTGCTGGCAGGCTGGGATGCCTGCTGGGCTGGTAGCGTGCATTGAAGCCGCAATCTGATGAGCTGGCTTCTGAGCGCGTGCTGTGTACTCCTGGGCTGTGCTGCTGTACCGCAGGCTGCACGGCTGTACAATGAGGACCGCAAGGAGTACAACCGGCGGGTGAAGGCGGTGGTGGAGGCCAGCTGGGCGGACGACGGCGAGGATGAGGATGAGGAGGGAGAGGAGGAGGCATAGCCCGCTCGCTCCACGCGGCGTCCCTGCAGCCCCTTTGATTTCCGGCTCAACCCCCTGCCTCAGCCTTTGGGCCTCTGTACCTCGCCCAGGCCCACCCTCTGTACCATGTAGCCGGTTCCGCTGCTGTACCCCCACTCCCACCCCCCTTGGATACCTTCCTCAACTCCCCTGCTGCTCGCTGCCCTCCTGCTGGCCCCTCCTGCCGAACCCTCGTCCGCCAACTCCTCTGCCCAACTCCGCTGCGCACTCGTATTATTCCTCCAGGCTCCAGATTCACAGATTCCTGTAAAACAATCTGTGCGCTCTGCTTGCTCCAGGGCTGGGCTGGCAGCAGCAGGCCGAGCTCCCGGGCAGAAGTGGAGGCGCGAGGACACCGGTGCCGCACCCCGGGCAGCTGCCTCCAGCCCAGCCCCAGCCTAGCCCTTGAGCGTCCAGATGCTGCCCCGCGAGCTGCACAGCTCCTTGACCACCCGCGAGTAGAGCGCGTCGCTGACGCCGATGCCCCGCGCCTTGGCCGCCTCCACAATGTCGCTGCGCTTCAGCTGCTCCTGATCTCGCAGCAGCTCGATGACCACGTCGCTGCGGAGAGGGCGGCAGCAAGGGCGCGCAGGGTGTGAGGGCGGGAGCGGGTGGGGGCGGGGGTAGTGGCCGGCGGCGAGCAGGGGTAAGAGTGCTGGCAGCGTGAGCGACACAGCAGGGCCCGCCGCCGCCGGGGAAGCCAGCAAGCAAGCTTGGCGGCCGCGGGCCGCGGGTGGCGCCAGGAGGCAACGCACCGCAGCGGGTCCAGCGCCGTGTTGCCCAGCCGCGTGGGAAAGTAGGATTTGCGCAGGTGGGTGATCTGCAGCGCCGGGGTGGCAGGTGGCAGGTGGGCTGTTGACATCAGGCCCCAGCCCACAACGGCGACGATGCGCCCAGGCAGGCGCAGGCGGCAGGCAGGCAGGGCCGGCACCGGGCAGCCCAGGCATCGCGGCAGGCAGGCGGCGGGCGCCGGCGCACCTCCCCGCTGGCCAGCACGGCCTGGTGCAGCGCCGCATCCGAGGCGCCCTCGGCCAGCGCCTTGACCGCGGCGCCGCCCTGCCGCGCCAGCATGCCCCGGATGGCGTCGATGTTGACGACCTGCGGCGGCGGCGGGCAGAGGCAGGCAGGCAGGCAGGCGATGTGATGCGTCAGTCGATGGGGTGCTTTGGCAGGGTGCCGGCGGCGGGCAGCCAGGGGATGGGGTGAGTGTGAGGTCGGGTCGATAGGGCGCGTCGCAGACGGGTGCGACGGCAGGCGGTGGCGCACAGGGTAGGGCGTGATAGAGTTGGGAGTTGGCCGAACAAGAGCCCGAAGCAGCACCACATGCTTCGTCAGCCCGCTCTCCCCCACCTGCGCCTGTTTGAGCAGTACCATGGTGCATGCCACGATGGCGGGCTGCACCTCCTCGGGCACCGCCGCCCCCGCCTGCTGCTGGCCGTCGCCGCCGGCGGCGCGGCCCGCCGCCGCCGCCCCCGCGGCCGCGGGCTTGCCAAACTCCTTGCCCGCAGTGCCTCCCCCCGCCCAGCTCGCCGGCTCCTGGCCTTGCAGCGAGCTGGAGCCTGCACAGGCGGCGGCAACGGCGGCTCAAGGCACTGCCCACCAAGAGATGAAAGACGCTGGCGCCGCCGCGGCTCCCGGGTACATACGATGCATGCGCTGGGCTGGGCTGCTGAGCGGGCGGCTGAACTGGCAGCCGACCTGGCACTATGGCATCTAGGTACTGCTCCCTGCTCAGCGTGACCCCCACATCCGGCTTGTTGTCCGCGCTGACCAGCTTGGACCACACCGTCTGGGCCAGGTCTGCAGCAGGGGCAGGGGCAAGTGGCGGCAGGCCGCGCGCCGTGGTCCAGTTCAGGCGGGAGAGTGCAGCGAGCCGGGGAGGGCCGGCCTGGGGATCGCCCGCTCCCAGCTTGCCTGCGCGCGGCTGACCGCCAACGCACCGCACACACACGCACACTCGCACACACAATGCCACCCACCCGAGGCGCCTCCATGGTAGTCTAGTGCCACCCACTGGTCCGCCTTCTCCTGCTCCGCCAGGTGCGCATACGACTTGAGCCGCGCCTCCGCCTGCTGCTCCGTCTCCCGCCGCTTCACCTGCACGCCGGCAGGCCGACACATGCACGCGGGACGTCGCGTGCGGCGGCGCCAGCGGCTCTGGCTTCTGCCCTAGCTGGAGCGGAGCGGCGGGGCGTCCTCCTCCGCGCGTGCACGGCTGGCGTGGCGCCAGCACAGCCAGCCTGCAACGGTGGGGAGGAGCTGACGTGGCGCACCTGTACCGTCAGCTGCAGCAGCTCCGGCTGCTTCTGGTCCTCCTCCTCCCCACCATCCTGCTTCTTCCGCGCCGCCGACTGATCCTTCTCCTTGTCCAGGTGGGCCAGCGAGGGCCGCAGCTGTAGCGCCTTTATGTATGGGCACGCGGGGCAGCGCAGACGGGCGGACAAGGCAGGCAAAGCTCAGCAGGCAGGCAGGCAGGCAGGCAGGCAGGCAGGCAGGCAGGCTGATAGCTCACAGGCGGCAGAATGTACAGCTGCGGCAAGAGGGCGGGGAGTCCGCAGCAGCCATACGGAAGCCACCCAGCGACAGAACAGAGAGCAGCGGCAGCGGCAGCAGCACACCTCGTCTATTGGGAGCAGCATGAGGCGATCCTCCTCCACAAACCCCGCCGCAAACGCGGTGCGCTGCTCCAGCCGGGCGCTTTGCAGCGTGATGGCTGAGATCTTCCTGCAGGAAGGGTCAGCCAGCCAGCAGCGTAGACGGGAAGATCACCCAGGGCGGCCAGTACCATGCAGCGCAAATGGCCTGGCCAAGCTGGCATGCTGAGACGTGGGACAGGCAGCCGGTGCGCCGGCCACAAGCGCGCCGCGATGGGCGCCACGCGGGATCGTCGCTGCGGCAGGCGGCGGCGGCCACGGCGTGCCTGCTGGGCTCCGCATTGCCGTTGTAATTGCGGCTATTCGTCTCCAGCGGCACTTCACACTGCAGCTTTTTAACCTGCACCCCAGGCAGCACCAGGTTATGGCAAGGCATTGAAGGCAGCGGGCGGGCGGCGGGCAAGGGTAGGGGGCTTCGGCAGCGAACAAAGCGGGACGGCGGAAATGCCGGGCTGCGGCCGTGTGCGCCCTTCGCAGGCCTTGCTGCTGCACTTGCTGCCTGTCCCTGACGAGTGACAGTTTGCCCTGCAAGCAGGCCACCCACCTTGGGCTTGAGCTTCACATTCTCCAGCCCAACTCGATCGGTGTGGTACGGGCGCCAGGGCGGGCGCAGCGGGAACTGCAGCAGGAAGGTCTGCAGCAGGACGGAAGCCACAAGCAGGGCTCGGGATGTGCACCGTGTCGCTCACGCGTGCTGCCAAGGATGCCTACTGAAGGCTGCGAAAGACCGGTAGGCTGGCAGGGCACCGCAGCCACCAGGCAGCACCGCCGCCGCCGCCGCCGCCCGTCTCGCCTGTGTGCCCTGCCCAAGCTCTCCCTGCAGCAGGTAGACGTCCAGCTCCCTCACTATCTTGTCGTCCTCCCCGGGCAGCCCGTGCGTCTCTGTTGGCACCACAGTGGTGCTGTCCGGCAGCACGGGGGGCGCCATGCGGCAAGCCCCTGCAGCAGCCTCGTGCTACAGGCTGCCTGTAATGGAAGCTGTGAGTTTGCGTGCTGCAAACGCCCAGCAGGAATGCAACGAATGAAGCAGGGCGGCGCTGGGCTCGGCGCTGTGCAGCGAATTCGGACAGTGCAAATTCATCCGAAGATTGCAGCCCCTTTGCCTCTCGGCGTCGGCACAGTGAGCTGGCAGGGCGCGAAAATGCATACAAGAGAGGCCTGCACACCCCCTCCAGGCTGATCACAGTGGACACCCCGATCGTTCATCGATTTCCGGCCATAAGGCGCGCCGATCACATACATTGGCAGCAGGGGCTGAGGACTGTCTGGGCCAGGGCACGCGGACTAGCAGCACGCTTTTCAAGGGCACTGCAGCAGGCTCCAGGAGATTGGCAGCAAGGTGCCAAACCCGCCTGCTCCCTCGCACGTTGCTGCCCTCTCCTGGCTGCCGCTGGTACCCTCGAGCACGGGGTTGCTGCCGGCAAGCATGGGTGCATGCTCTGAGGCGCCCGGAGGAGCGCTGTTGTGTGGCAGGCGCTGCCCACTCCGCCCCGCCACTCCGCACGTGCCGTCGCACTGCCTTGCAACTGCCCCGGCCAACTTGCTGCTGTCCATGCTCCCCTGGCCGCAGCTCACTGCATAGTCCGCAACCCAGCACCTGCGTGGCGCGGCGGCAGGCCGAGCAGCAGCTGCAGCGGCTGCACCACAGCCGCGGTAGCAGGCGCGGGTCATGGCCGCACGCCAGCAGCCGCTGCCGACGGCCTGGGACTCCTCCATCCGCTCCCCCGCGCAGCGCTACCTGTCGGTAGATGGCTGCAGGGTGAAGTACGTCGGCCCCGGCAGCGACGACCGCGACGCGGCGGCGGTACGGGCCAACCACCCCGTCCCGCCCGACTGCCCGCTGTTCTATTTCGAGGTGGAAGTGACCAGCCGGGGGCGGGACGGATTCATAGGTGGGAGGGCAAGGCGGTGGAGGCTGAGCGCAGTCGCAGGCCGCCCCCCTGCTCCTGTCTACACGCAGCAGGTGGCCTCCCGTGCACCCACCCGCTGGCTCACGCTTTTCCGTTGTGCGACCGCCCCGCAGGCATCGGCTTCTCCACCGCCGACGTGAAGCTGGACCGGCTGCCCGGGTGGGAGCCCCACAGCTACGGGTACCACGGCGACGACGGCCACGCGTTCAGCGGGCGCGGCACGGGACGTGCCTACGGGCCTGTGTACACCACAGGCGAGCGGGAGGGGCAGCCTTGAAGGGGGCATCGCCTGGTGCTGGTCAAGGTTGTGTGGGTGGTGGGGTGGGGGCGTGGAGGGGTGGACGGCAAGGGACGGGCTGGGCAAGACGAGAAGAGAAGGCGAGGCAGGCGCCAGGGGGCACAGCAGCTTGGGCTGCATGCTGGCGTTGCGCACGCGTGGCTGTTGACGGCGTCCCCTCCTGCCGTTCCACCGGCCCCGCCCTCCCGGCTGCAGGCGACTGGATCGGCGTGGTGTTCAACCGGGTAGAGCGCACCATCACCTTCACCAAGAAAGGCTATGACCTGGGTGCGCGGCTGCTGCGTGACTGTGTGTGGGGGGGTGTTGAGCCAACAGGCGGGCGGGCAGGCAGGCTGGCGGGCAGCCATGTGCCCTGCGCCCTGCGCCTTGCGCTGTGCGCTGCCCTGTGCCACGCCCCTAGCCACGCACAGGCAACCCACGCCCCCTCTGCTTCCAGGCGTGGCGTTTGAAGGGGTCACCGAGGAGCGGCTCTACCCTTCCGTGGGCTTCCGCACGCCAGACGAGGAGGTGAGGGGCAGGCGCTCAAGAGGCGCCACAGAGGGTGCTGCCTGGTTTAGGTGGTGGCTGGCTGGCCGGCTGGCTGGCCCCAGTCCCCGTGCCCTGCCACCCTGTCTCCCTGCCCCCATCCACATCCCCATCCTCCCAGCGAGCTCATCCCTTGCCATCATCCCTGCCCCCGTGCTCCTCCTCCACGGCCTCCCCTACAGATTGTGGCCAACTTTGGGACCGACCTGGCGGCGCGGCCCTTCAAGGGTGACCTGGCCTGGATCAAGGCAGAGGCCAGCCAGCGCCTCTACTCCTCCGTGCTTTCCACCACCGTGCCACGGTCCTCCAAGGTGTGTGTGTTGTATGTCTGTGGTGGCGGCGGTCGTGGTGGTGTGAGTGCAGTTGGGCAACAGACTGTGCGCGTGTGTGGCGTGTGGTGTGGCGAGGCCCGCCGCCCTGCAAACTGGCTTCGCTGGCATTGCTGCATTTATCACTCATCCTGCCCTGGTGCTGCCTGGCGCGCTGCCACAGGGCCAGAACGTGATAGGGGAGCTTGTCTTTGGCTACCTCCAGCACCACGGACACTGGGACACGGCGGCGGCGGTGGCTCGCGACGTTCTGGGCGGGTCCGCGGCGGTCAGGCAGCAGGACGTGCAGGACATGCAGGTGGGGTGCGGGGGTGGGAGAAGGCTCGGCCCTGGCTGGAGGCGTGGGGTGGCGGTGACAGAGTGGGCACAGGGAGGCCGGCGGCCCCGCATGCGCCGAGTGGGCTCGACGCCACACTGCAGCGACATTTTTTGCCGCTGCACATCCTCCATGCGCCCACACTGCACCCGAAGCAGCCCCAGCACACCCGGCTGCCCCGCCTGCACCTTCCGCCGTGCCTGCCACAGGTGCGGCAGCAGATTGGAGAGCGGGTGGAGGCGGGGGACGTGGATGCTGCGCTGGCGCTGACGGAGCAGCTTGCGCCCGGCCTGCTGGCCGCCAGCCCCCGCATCCACTTCCGCCTGCAGTGCCAGAAGTTTGCAGAGATGGTGAGGCGGGGCGCGGTCGGGTGTGCCCCATACACACACCGCGGCGTTGCCTGTTGCCGCCTGTAGCTCGGCAGCTCGCGCTGGCCAGGCTCCACAGCTGCCGCTGCGCTGGTGGCGTGCGTGAGCTGTTTGGCCCCGCCATGTCTGCCTGTGCACAGATCAAGGCGGGGCAGGTGGCCGAGGCGATAGAATACGGGCGTGCCCATGTCGTGCCCCTGGCGTCTCCCAGCGACAGCGGTACCGCGGCGGCAGCTGACCGAGAGCTGCTGGAGGATGCCACTGCGCTGCTTGCGTATGATGACCCCACGACCGGGCCCACGGGTGCGTGGGGCTGGGCCAGGCTGGTGGGCTGGCTGGCTAGCTGAGCGGGTTGGCCCGACCATTGATGCGCTAAAGGGCTTGTGGTACGCGGTGGATTGATATGACCAACGTGCCCCGTGCTGTCTTGGGTTGCCTGCAGGCTACATGCTGCTGCCCTCACACCGCTCCGAGCTGGCAGCGACGCTGAATCGAGCCATCCTGGCGCACAGCGGCCGCAGCGAGGACTCGGCGTTGGAGGCCATTGCGCGGCAGGCGTCGGCGGCGCTGCAGGTGTTGCGCTGGGCTTTGGAGCGTGGAGGATTGGGCAGCCTGGGGCTGTGCTGGCTGAGCTGTGGAGTTCTGTTGTTTTGTTCCACTGAGCACAACCCTCCACCATGCCCCGGTTTGTGCAGGAACTGAAGCGGAGCGGCAACCCCGCGGCGCAGCTGCTCGACCTGCAGACGCTGTTGCAGCAGGGGGCGCCGCCGGCGGCGGGCGGCAACTGAGCGGCCGCCTTTGTCTTGATCGCCTCGTACACTTAGCAGTTGTAAGGCATCGGTAGTCAGTTTTCTCGCAGCTCAACAGACGAACCCCACCGATCGAGCAGATTGCGATCAGCGGGGCGATCAGCCCACACAGCTTGACCCCGCGACACCTGACAGCGATGCTGGGTACTTTACAAACGTGTGCATAGCCGTTGCGCGCCGGCGGCCGGCGGGTGAGGGTCATTGGGCGGGGACGACTTCCAGGGCATGGGACTGCTTGTAATTGCATTAGCATGTCATGCATAGCAATGAGAGGCCCACCAAAGCACCAATGGCCCCGATTTCGACCCTCGTTCGCCGACTTTCCAGCCAAGCCTCCGCGGATTAGGCTGGCCCCGTTCGGGTCGCCGGCATGTTGATTAGGCTTGCGCGCCCGCCAGAACACCCGCCATCAGGCACCCAGGGTGGACAGGCCGCGGAGCCGGGCGCGCCGCAAAATAGTTCTGACCCAGAACCCGGGGACACCAGGCAGCAAAACGCAACGCAACAGCTGGTGACGGGTGGCGCAGCTGAGGCCGGGCTGCGGCCAGCCCGCACTCCATGGCCGAAAACAGCGAGGCAGATGCAGTGGCGGGCATCCCCCTGGCCGAGGGCGGCGAGGCCCACGAGGTTGTCTCGGAGCTGCCGGCGGTTGGGGAGGAGCAGCAGGCGGTAGAGGGCGTGGTGCACCACGCCAAGGATGGCGCCTACGACGCCGACGCGGCGGCGGCGCACCTGGCAGCCGCGGGACACCTGGCGGCCGACGCCTACCAGCAGCACGCGGAGCACTACGCCTACTACCAGCAGCACCCGGAGCACTACCAGCACCACCACAGCGACGGGGAGTCAGAGGAAGCAGACCCCAACGCGGAGACGGGGCTCTTCATCCCTGGCTCTGAAGTGGACGGTGAGCCACGGCTGCTGCCCTGACCTGGACTGTCGCTCCCCCGCCCCATGCCGCACCTCGGCAGGCTGCCAGCCAGCAGTTTGGCAGGAACGGCGTATGGACGCACTGCGGACAGCAAGCATGCACACCCGGCGGCTGGGTCCCAGCATTGGTGGCACGTGGCGCCCATGCGCGCCGTCGTGGCTGGCACCTCGGAACCTTCCCGCCTTCCCCCGCCGCCACCCATGAGCCCGAACCCTCCCCACGCCACCCCTCCGTGCAGCAGAGACGCCCCAGCAGCTGACCGTGGCTGATGTGGACGCCATGGCTGTGCACCCCGAGGGGGAGTGGACTGCGGAGCAGGAGCATGAGCTGGTGCAGGTCATCACAGATGAGCACTACCGAGCGGTGAGCTGCTGGCTGGGCACAGCCTGCTTTCTGCTTTACTGTGTCACAGTCTGCATGGCATAAGTTCCTGCGAGGAAGTTGCAGCAACAGATGCGCGGCCAGCGCATGCAGGTGGAGGGGTGGTCTTGCGCCAGCGCTCGAGGCACACACACACGCTCGCCCACCCCACCGCCCCTGCCTCTGGCCTGCTGCAGGAGAAGATGGGGGCCCCATGGGCGGCCTGGAGTGTGGCCCAGAACCGGTTTGCGCCCGTGGCCGCCTACACCAAGCGCACCATCCGCGACGTGCGGCAGAAGGTGAAGGAGAAGCTGTCGCTGCCCGAGGTGGCGGCGGCGGCGGCGGCAGGTGAGCATCTTCTTGCAAAGCGCGCGGAGCCTTCGCTGCCAGGGCTGCCCTGGATTTGGCTTGATGTGGCGGGGCGTGCCTCGGCTCCCATCTTCAGCCTGCCAATGTTTTTCGCCTCGACCCGCCGCGCCCTCAACACTCCTGCCCGCCGGCCGGCCTCCCTGCCTCGCTCGCAGCCATGGCGCATCATGAGGGCGACGCGCAGCAGGCGGCGGCAGCAGCCCACCACGAGGGCGCCGACGGCGCCGCCGCGGGCGCCGACAGCGCCGCCGCCGCCGCCGCTGCAGCAGCGGCGCACGACGCGGCTGTGGGCACGGCCACGGGCCTGCCGCAGCACGCGCTGCCGCTGATGGATGGCCACCTGGTGGCCTCCTTGGGCTACCACCACCACCTGGCAGACCATCACATGCAGATGCAGACCCACATCACCACGGAACAGATGCACCAGGTGTGTGCGGCTGGCGGGTGGGGGGGGGGGGCTCGCCTGCGGAACAGGTCCCTGCTCCCTGCATGCTCCTCTTGCCCTGCTCCCACCGCTCCCCTGGCTCCCTGCCTGCGCCCCCACCCCTGGCCCCGCTCTCCCTCACCCCTGCTGCCTCCTCCTCCCGTGTCCCACGCCGTGCCCGCCCGCCGCCGCAGATGCACGCCCAGGTGCAGCAGATGACTCCCGAGCAGATGCACATCTACCACCAGCAGATGAGCGTGCTGAGCCAGTTCACGGTGGCACCCGGCCAGGTGGCGTACCCAGGCGCCGAGGGCGCGGCAGAGGGCCTCCCCGCAGACGCCGCCGCGGCAGCGGCAGCCTACCCGGCGGGCATCGACCCACACCTGCTCGCCCACCAGATGGCGGCAGTCGCGCAGTCGCCCTTCCCCATCCCGCTGCCCGTGGCCTCGCCCGCGGGCGCCGGCACCACCACCACCAACCCGCGCAACGACCGCCACTTCTGGAAGGAGCACGAGCAGCAGGAGCTGCTGCGGCTGGTGGCCGACCAGGCGTACCGCCAGAGCGTGCTGGGTGCGTGACGGGCGTGGCACACCGCCGGGGCCGCACCGCGGGGCCCGGCGGCCCCGTGCCGGCCCCGTCGTGGCGCTGCCGCGGTCCTGCCGCAGCCCTGCCGCGGCTCAGCGCATGCCGGAAGCCCTGCGCTCCCGCACCTCAACCCGCCACTGACTTCATCGTCCACCCCACCCCTCACCCCACCACCACACCCCACCCACCCGTTCGCCCCATGCAGGCATCAGCGAACTGAATTGGGACGCCATCGCTAAGCATCTGGGGCGAGGCAAGCGCTCGGTGCAGCGCAAGTACGACAACCTCAAGGGCTCGCTGTCGCACGGCCCCCCCGGTGCGCGCCCGCCAGGCTTCCTGCGCCCGCGCCCCCTCGGCCGCCGCCTGCTGCTGTTGCTTCTTTGCCTGTTGTGTTTGTGGTCTGCATGGATAGCCCAAGGCACTGGGAACACAGACCCCTGCGCTGCTGCCTGCTGGCTGCGAGCAACACTTGCTGTGCTGCCAGCTGCCAGCTGGGCCCATGCACGCCGCCGCCGGCCGGCTGCCTGGGCTTGCCTGGGCTAAAGCTGGGGGACTTCAGGGCTCAGCGGCATACGTCTGATCCTGTACGCGGCCCTGTTGTGCGCTGCCCCCCCGCAGGCGCCGCCCCTTTGCCGCTGAACGACGGCAAGAAGTGGAGTGCCGAGGAGGTGACGGAGCTGCTGGCCCTGGTGGAGGATGAGAACTACCGGCGGCAGCGCCTGGGCCTGGAAAAGGTGGGCTGGAGAGGGGGCGGGGTGGTTTCTGTGGGGCGGTGGTGGCACAAGCTGTGGGCTGGTTTGTTGGGCAGTTGTGGCAGGAGTGGGGTGGCTGGGGGCTGGACTGCAGCAGCACTGCACTGGGCGGGAGCAGCATACATGCCGCCTTGTTTTGGCAGGGTGCTTGCTCACGGCCGTGGCTGCGGCTCCCCCGTCCCCGCAGGTGGACTGGCGAGTGTTTGGCCAGCACTTTGGGCGCAGCTACGAGAGCGTGAGCTACAAGTACTCGTATATCAAGAACACGGGGCGCACGGGTGGGTGGGGTGTGTGCCAGAAGAAGAAGAAGTAGAGGAACACGGGAGCGACCAGCGTCTGCGTGCCTGCTCCTCCTCCCCGCGGCGCCGGCGAGGCACGCGCCGCTGGTGTTGATGCGGCTGACGGCGCGGCGCGTGGCCTGTGTGTGTGTTGCAGGCCAGGAGGGCAAGGCCAAGCACGCCAAGGCCAAGCACGAGACTAGCTACAAAGAGATGGCCATCTATGCGCTGCAGCAGGTGGGTGGGCGCATGTGTGTGGGAAAGGTGGAGGGGTTGCGGCAGGCAGACCGGTGGTGGTGGTGGTGGTGATGGTGTGGTGGTGTGTGGGCGGTGCCAAACCCCTGGGACGGCGCAACCAACCCCTGCTGGGCAGGCCTGTCCCCTGCCTACAGCACCTGCGGTGCCTCGTGTGCCTAACCGCCGCGCCCCTGCCCTGCACTGACCGCGCGCACCTCATCGCCCCGCCTGCTTTCTTTCTTCTTTCCTCCTTCCTCTCCGCAGCTGGCGGTGAAGACGGGCGTGCCCGAGGGCACCAGCGGCCAGATCTGCGGCGAGATCATTCTCAACCCCGTCTTCCAGCCGCAGCTGGACACAGCCATCGTGAGCGGCAAGAAGACGCTGCAGAGGTGCGGGGCTGGCGGGCGTGGTGTGTGTGGCTGGTGTGTGTGTGTGTGGGTATGAATAGGTAGGTGGATGTGTGTGTGTGGTGGGTGGCCGAGAGTGCAATCAATGGCGGGAGGTGAGGGCTCCAGCCGACTTCTGGAAGGAAGGTGTCTGCCTGGCCTCCGCATGCTGCGGAGGAGGTTTCACGAGCCAACCCCCTGGCTGTGCTGCCCGCCTGGCCTGCCTCCCTCCTCGCCTGTCTGCAGGTGGAAGCACGGCGTGCGCAGCGCGCTCAACGCATTCCCCATGTTCACAAAGACAGGCGCGGTGCGCGACGGCGAGGTGGTGTGGCGCCTGGAGGAGACGGCGCTGCAGGCGGAGCAGGAGGCGCAAGCCGCGGTGAGGCGGCGTCGCGGGGCGCGGCAGCCCCGGCGGCGGCAGGGAGGACCCTGCTGGCCCTGGCTGCTGTCTTGCAAGCCGGCCGCTGCTGGCCACCCCCGCCGCCTCCTCTCTCCCGGCACCTCCCCCTTGCCGCCACCTCCTTTTCACATGCAATCTTCTGATTCCCTGCAGAAGCTGCACCGCTCCCGCAACAAGCCCATGTCGGGCGCGCAGCGGCGCAAGATGAAGAAGGTCACCGCGGAGAGCGGCGGGGAGGGGGAGGGGGAGGCGGAGGAGGGGGAGGCGGGGGAGGAGGCGGCGCACGAGGCGCTTGCATCCATGATGTCCAGCCAGGTGGGTGGCGGGTGACTGCTGCTGCTGGTGGTGGGCAGAAGGTGGGCTGCTGGTGTTGGGGAGAAGCGGGGCGGCTGGTGTGGGAGCAGTGGGGTGGCTGCTGGGGTGGGGTGTGCCTGCGGCGGGCGCGTGCCCCCTGCCTTGAAAAGGGTACAGGAGGCCCAGCCAGGTGGCGCGCCCTGACCAGCGCCTGCCCCTCGGCCCCACCTGCTTATCAGCGCCTGCCCCTCGCCCCCGCCGTGCCTGCAGCGCCCGCCCTCCGCCCGGCTGGCCTCCAAGCGCAAGCCGGGGCGGCACGCCGACTCGGACGATGATTACGAGGAGGAGCTGGGCAAGGAGCGGGCGCCGCGCAAGAAGAAAGCAAAGGCGGCGGCACCGCGGGACCCGGGCGCGGCAAACGGCGTGGTCAAGGCGCCGGGCGCGGTGAGGCCGCGGGGCAGGCCCCGCTTGCGTGCCGCAGCCGCCGCTGCCGCCTGCTGCTGCTGCTGCCGCGCATGGTGCGTGTTGTGTGGGTGTTGTGGCATGAGGAATGTGACTCGCCTTAGGTCTGTTCCTCGCCGCCGCCCTCCCCTCCCCGGCACCTCACGCTCACAGCTGCCCTCCTCTCTCCATCCGCTGTCCCCATGCAGGAAGCCCCCAGGATGCCAGGACTGGCGCTGGGCGCCGGCGTCGCCCTGCCTGCCGGCCTCCCGCCCGAGATGTTTGCCGCGGTGAGCACGCCTGGCGGCCAGCTGCCGCTGCTGCTGCTCCGCCACTGTCGCTGTTCCGTGCCACGGACAGACCAACCGCTGGGCCTGTAGCGCAGCCTCCCAGACGTGTTGAAGAAAGAGTTTTGCCTTGTGAGAGCGGTCTGTGTATGCCCCGCTTCCTTGGCCTGCCCGCCTGCAGGTGCTGCCGCTGATGATGCAGTCTGTAGACCCCAGTGTGGCGCAGCAGGCCGCCCTGATGGCCGGCCTGCCCGCCGAGCAGCAGCAGGCGTATGCGGCTTCGCTGACGCCGGAGCAGCAGGCCAGCCTGGCGCAGCAGCAGGAGGCGGCCGCGGCGCGGGGCAACATCGTGCCTGCCGGCGCGGTGGCCCCCGGCGCGCCCGCGCCCGCCGCCAACGGCGCCGCCGCCACCAACGGCGAGCAGGCCGCGGCGGCGGCGCCAGCAGCCGCAGTGGCGGGCGAGGTGCCGCCCTGGCTGGCGCAAGTGTGGCCCGCGGGGCCAGCGGAGCACGTGGGGCAGCAGCAGCAGCAGCAGCAGCCGTTGTCTGCAGAGGCTCAGCAGTCTCACGCGGCAGTGATGGCGGCCTTTGGAGCCGCCGCCGCGCCGGCGCCGTTACCGGCCCCGCAGCAGCCGCAGGCGCAGCAGCAGGCCGTCTCGGCCGGCGAGGCGGCTGCTCCGGCCGTCGCCCCCGCGGTGCTGGACCCTGTGGCAATCTTTGCGGCGGCCGAGGCGGCGGCAGCGCGCCAGGTGCAGCTTCTGGAGCAGGCCAGATTAGACGCCGGCTCTGCGGCTGCCCACGGGTCTGCCTCAACTGCGGGCACGCCAGAGCCTGAAGTCAAGGCAGAGCAGCTGGCTGAGGAGCCGCCGCCGCACGGTGAGGCCTCGCAGGCGACGGCGGGGCAGCAGGAGCAGGCGGCGACGCCGGGCCCGCAGGCGGCGGCGGGCGCGCCGGAGCTGGAGGCTGGCCGCGGCACGCCCGAGGCCGCCGCGGCCGCGGCTGGCGACGGGGCCGGCGACGCGGCGGCGGCGGCGGCGGCCTCGGCGGCTGACGAGCCGGCGGCTGACGACGCGGCTGCTGCTGCGGCAGCCGCCTCCACCGAGCAGCAGATGGCGGAGCTGCATGCCTGGCTGGGCAAGCATGGGCCGGGCATGGAGGGCGCGGAGGCGGTGGCGGTGGGGGGCATGGAAGGCACAGACCCCGCCACCATGGCGCACCTGGCCAGCCTGGATGCGGAGCAGCAGCAGGCGTACCTGGCGCAGCAGCACCACGCGGCCTACGACCCCCACCACCACCTCTACCACCACCACCACCACCACGAGGCGGCAGCCACCGCGCAGCTGCCCTTTGACGCTGCCGCGGTGTTTGGCGCGACGGAGGGCCACCCGGCGCACGCGTACGACCCGGCGCAGTACCATGGCGAGGCAGCTGCGCAGTACCATGATCCGCAGTACCATGCCGCCGATCCAGCCCAGGCAGCCGCCTATGCCGCCGCGGGCGGCGAGCACCAGGCAACCTATGCAGCCTCCGACCAGCATGCAGCCCCAGACTACCACCAGCAGCACTACCAGGGCGGGGAGTATGCTTCGGCGGAGGACGCCACGCAGCACTACGCCGCCGACGGGCAGCAGCACTACGCCGCCGACGGGCAGTACGCCGAGCACGGGCAGTACGACCAGCAGTACACCGCCGCCGACCACGGGCAGTACGCCGCCGCCGACGGGCAGCAGCAGTACGCCGAGCACGGGCAGTACGCGGAGCATCACCACGAGCAGGCGTACACCGCGGAGCAGCAGGCTGCCTATGCTGCCGAGCACGGGCAAGCGTACAGCACAGAGCATGGGCAGGCGTACAGCACAGAGCAGGCCGCCTACAGCACAGAGCACGGGCAGGCGTACAGCACAGAGCATGGGCAGGCGTACAGCTCGGAGCAGCAGGCCGCGTACGAGGCGCAGCACGGGCAGGCGTACACCGCTGAGCAGCAGGCCGCGTACGAGGCGCAGCAGGCGGCAGGCTATGGCGGCGAGCACGCGGCCGGCTACCCCGCAGAGCACTATGCCGCCTACGCTGAGCAGCAGCAGGGGCAGGAGGGAGAGTACCCGCAGGCGCACGGCGAGGGCGGGGAGGGCGCGGCCTATGGCGAGCAGCAGCAGCACCACGATGCTGCGGCGGCCGAGGCGGCTGGCTATGCCCAGGGAGACCCTGCCGCGCAGCACTATGACCCCACCCAGCACCAGCCGGCTCCTGGCGCTGAGCACGAGCAGGCAGCGCCGCACGACGAGCAGCAGGAGCAGCAGGCTGGCCAGGCGCCCGGCGCGGAGCAGGCTGCGGGCGAGCCGGCGGCAGCGGAAGAGCAGCAGCCTGCCGAGGCGGCGGCGGCATATGCGGGCGGCGAGGGCCCGGCGCCAGAGGATGAGGTGATGGCTGAGGCTGAGGCCGCGCCAGGCGAGGCTGGAGAGGCTGGGGACCTTGTGGCAGGCATGTTTGCCGCAGACCCAGCCCCCGGCCTGGAGCAGGTGCAGGAGGAGGCGGCACCGATGCAGGAGTGACAGCGGCCGCGGCGCTAGCTGCGCCTCCTTGTCGTAGCCAGAATCACCTTCTTTTGCAAGCTCTGCGCAGCGAGTGGTGCACATGCCACCTCTCTTGCTCTTCCCTATTTGTTTTTGACTTCCCCCGACTGACACACGCCAGGATAAGATCGGTACCCCATCAACTTGGACTCTTCTCCCCCTCTGTTTTTTTCATTGCCACGCCTTGTGCCCGCTGCGTGGGCCTCCCTTACCAAACACAGCCATTCATGCACCCCAGGCACGCACATGTGCCCCTTTGACCCCTCGAGCCCGCCCCCTCCGCTGCGGAGCCGCCCAGTTTTGCTGACGATGCCATTCATCGCCCCCTCCTGACCCAGCAATTCCTTGTGCCCGATGTGTGTGTATATGTGCGTGTGACAAGCGACGGCAGCACAGAGAGGGGAGCAGCAAGGCGAGGGAGGCTGGGCAGGGGCAAAGCAAGGCTGGGGCAGCCGGGCGAGCGCATGCGCTGCTGCACGGCGGCTGCCACGCAGGCGAGCGAGGGCGCCCGCAGGCGGGATGGCTGCCGCCGGCGGTATCAGGGCAGCGGCAACAGAACGAAATAGGGAAGGGAGCTGGCGGGGAGCAGAGGAAGCAGACGGGGGAGCAGGGAAGCAAGCTGCTGGCAGGGCCCAGCGCTGGGGCCGGACCGCCGCTGCCGAGGCACGGCCAAAGGGGTGGTGTGCGGTGATGTGGAGACGGCTGCCGTTGGGGCATATCAGGCACAGCCCTGGCGTGGAAGCGCGATCCAAGGCAGAAGTGGCGAGGAGGGGGCAGGTAGGGAGCGGCGGCCTCAAATCTCTGCAGACAGGCAGGGGAAGGGCGGTCAGGCATGCAACCCGACAGGCGACGCCACCAGCCCCCGGCCCCACACCCCAGCCACCACACACCACCGCAGCGAAGCACACGCCACCCCCGCTTGCTTTGTGTGATCACAGTCTGCCCATCCGCAAAGGAACTTGCGACAGCAGGCTCACACACCCCAGCCACCACGCACCACCGCACCACTGCAGCGAAGTGTGAGCACACGCCACCCCCCCTCACCGCTGATGTCGTCGAAATCGATGTAGTCGTCGTTCTCGCCGCCCTCCTCCTCATTCAGCGCGTCGGTGTCGTTCACGCGGACTGCGGGGGACGGGGATGGGGCAATGGGGGCAGATTGTGTGGGCTGGTGTGGTTGGGTAAGGTGTTGGCTGGGATGTGGGTGGGAGTGGGTGTGGGTTGGGGAGCAGCAGGCGTGGAGGGGGTGGCGGGGGCAACAGCAGGTGGCAGGGGAGATGCAGGCAGGCGGGCAACGAAGGGGGCGGGAGGCGCGAGGCGAGAGGGCGAGGTGGCGGCGCTGTTCACTGTTCTCGGGCAGCTCGCCGTAGGCCTTGAGCGAGCGGGCCTCATCAGCCATATACCTGCAGGCAGGCAGGCAGGCGGGCAGGCAGGCGGGAGGGCCACGCAGCAAGCAGGTTGAGCAGGGGGCAGGGAGGCGAGAGCATGGCTGCTGCGCGCCTGCTTCTGCGCCAACCCTGCCGATGTTGTCCCAGTTCACCAGCCAGCCGGAATCCGTGCAGCCCCGCCCCGCCAGCACTGCCAGCCGCATCCCCCAGGCACACCCCCGCAGCCCCAGCCCAGCCGCAGCCCGGGCGCTCACTTGAGGATGACGTCTGCCTTCTCATCCTGGTAGTCGCGCAGCCCCACCAGCACAATGTCCCCCGTGTTGACCCACACCTGCCGCGGAAAGACAGAGGGGTGGATGAGCAGGCGGCGGTCGATGCCAGGGACCCGTGGGGAGGCAGGCAGGCGGGCAGGCGAGGCGACGCAGCCCAGCAGCAGGCTCGGTGCAGGCTGCGGCAGCCCAAAAAGGCTCCTGACCTCACGCCGCCCAGGCCTGCGCCAATACCAAGCAAAGGCAGGCAAACCCCGCCCCCCAGACCCACCTTCTTGCGCATCTTGCCGCGGATGTGGCACAGGCGCTTCACTCCATCCATGCAGTGAGCTTCCAGGCGGCCGTTTCCCAGCATGCGCAGCACCTGGGCATACTCTGCAGCCGGTGGTGGCAGCGGCAGGCAGCCAGGCAGGCAGCAATGAGATGGCGGGGACGGGAGGCATGGCGGGGGCTAGGCACGGGAGCAAGGCAGCGACGCGGGGCCTGTGCCGCGCAGCCGCGGCTGGCCTCTGCATGCCGGCAGCACAGTCGGCTCACCCTGACCTGCAGCACACGGCAAGGGGGACGCGGAGCGGGTGATAGTGAGGACAGGTGACAGGCAACCCAGCAGCCTAGAGCCTGCTGCCGCTGCTACCGAAAGCGGCAACAAACAGGCGCCGGGCGGCGGCAGCTCACCGTCCTCCTTGAAGATGAGCTCCCGCTTATCATCCGAGTCGTTCTTCCCCCTGCGGCGGTTCTTGCCGCCCTTGCCTGCAGCCGGGAGAAGCAGGACGGACTGGCGGCGTTCAAGCAGCGGCGGCGCCGGAGGCTGTGGCAGCAGCAGCCTGGCGTGGGGCCGGCTGGCGTGCCCAGCGGGGCCGCGGACGGCCCCCAGCGGCCCACGGGAGCGTGGGCCCAGCCGAGGGGTGGGCCGAGGGGCGGCCAGAGTGATGAGCTCAGCATGCAGCTGCTCACCTTTGTTCTTAGGCATAGTCCTTGTTGTAAGGTCCCTGGGCGCTGAGGTTGCGAGGATATGGCCGAGGCGCGGCTGCCGCTGAGGCGAGGCGTCGAAAGCCGCCCGCTGATCGCCTGGTGTGTGCAGACGGTCAGTGCCGGGGTCAGGGCAGCCGGAAAGAGGCCCTGGTGACCGCAGGGGCTGGGACTTGGGGGCCTGCGGCTCTGCTAAGGCCTACCTGGCAACGCATGGGGAAAGCCTGTATCAAGCCTCACAGATCGCCGCTGCTGTGCACAGTGCAGTGTAGTGGACATTGGGGACAGCCCATTGAGACTGCCCGCAGGCCGTGGAGCGCCCATCCATCCTTCCTGCTGCCTTCGGCCTGCTCCGCTGCTGCGGGCCTGTGGGCCGCCGCGATGCGCGCCTTGATGCTGCTCCGTGCGGCTCGCGCGGCGGCAGCAGCGGTTGAGCCTTTCGGTTCCCTCCGCCTGGCCTCAGAGGCATGCGGCACCTCTGCAGCGCCCCTGGTGCCCGTCAGCCAGCTGACCAGCCTGCTGGGTATGCAGTTCCAGCAGCAAGCGGCCTACGCCGCGCGGCACAGGGGCGACGACTCGGACGAGGACGACGAGGCGGCAGCGACCGGGCGGCACTCCAAGCTCACCCACAGCCAGCGCAAGCTGCTCATCGACCGCAAGCTCAGGGAGGGGGAGGAGCGTGAACCAGTGTCTGAGGAGGAGGACGATGAGGATCGTGTCCGCCGGATCATGGAGACGCTGGGCAACTTGGGGCACCCCACCAACGACAACGCTTCCTCCTTTGTCTCTAGGTGCGCGGCGCCTCGCTGCTCAGCTGATGCCTGCAGAACGGGCTGCTGTGCAGGACAGGCTGCTGTGGGTGACAGCATTGTCCTGGTCGCCGGATGGCAGTGGTCGCTGTGTTGGCCTGCCAACCCTGCCGACCGACTGCCCTGCTTTGCCCCTGCCGCAGCTTTTTCGGCCAGCGGCGGCGAGCAGCAGCATCGTCGTCAGGAGAGGAGAGCGACGAGGACTTGCGGTACCGCGGCGAGGGCGGCAGGTTTGCCCCGCCCAGGCACCCGCTGGCAGCAGCAGCAGCAGACGGCGACCTTGCAGTTGACGGAGAAGCGGAAGATGAGCTGAGCGAGGCGGAGGAGGCGGATGAGGATGCACTGGAGGTGCGCTGGCGCTGGCTGGCAGCCTGCGGGTTGCCTGCTGCTCATGCTGACGCGCTGCCGCTGCTGCTGGCACCCACCGGCGAGTTCTCTGGAGTGCCGGCGAGCCTGTTGGGACCCCCGGGGCCTGCTCCCACACCCTGCGGCGCAGGTGTCGCTGCCTGGGGCGCTGGAGGAGGAGGAGGAGGTAGACCTGCTGAGCAAGCTGCACGGGCTGCGCCCCGGCTCCCGCCGCATCATGCTGCAACAGCTGCTGGAGGGGGGCATCATGCGGGTGGACCCGCAGGCGCGGGCCGAGTGGGAAGCCATCCAGGAGCAGTTCAAGCCTCCCGCCGACTTCCGCATGAAGGTGTGCAGCCTGTGTGTTTATGTCTGCGGGTGCGTGCTGGGAGGGTTTGTTTGGCGGCATCCATACCCGTTTTGCTGTCATGCGCAGGTGGTGGACGTGAACCGCACCTGCAAGGGCACCCGCACCGGCGGCCTGTACCGCTACAGGTGAGCGGTACACACAGCAGGCAGCACAGCAGGCGGCACAGGGCAGGACCGCTGCACCAGCACCAGCACAAGCACCTGCCCTTCGCTGTGCCACACGTAGCCTTCCCAGCTGCGGAGCGTGGCAACCCTCGTATGGCCAGTATCCCCGCCGCCTGCCCTCAGCGCTGCCGCGCCTCCCTCCCGCGCTCCCCACCCGCCCACCCGCAGCTGCATGGTGGTGGTGGGCAACGGCAACGGGGTGCTGGGGTGGGGGCAGGGCAAGGCAGCCGAGGTGAACGATGCGGTACAGAAGGCGTACCAGCGGGCGTGCCGCAACCTGTACCCCATCCCGCGGTACAACGACCACACTATCCCTGAGCCCATGAATGCCAAGTATGGCCAGGTGGGCACCGGCTGGCAGGGTGGTTGGCTGGCTGGGAGGAGTGAGTGAGTGAGGGAAGGAGGGAGGGAGGGAGTTTTTTCTCAGGTTTGCGTCAGGCATCGCGGCAGGCGGGCCCCAGAGCGGCAGCGTGCCGTGCGTTGCGCTTCCAGCATCCTGGAACCACAGGCGAGCAAGCACGCTAATCCTGCTGCTGCCTGCGCGCTCCTTCACGCTTGTGCCTTTTGCCCGCAGGTCAGGGTCACCATGTACCCTAAGGCCTCCGGCAATGGCATCAAGGCCAACGCACTCATGTGAGCGCGCCCACAGCTTTCGGTGCCCGCCCTAGCCTGAACAGGCCCTGCCTGACCTTTGGGCACTGCCACCCTGCTGCTCCCTGCTCCTGCGCTCCTGTCCGGTCCTGCCGTGCCGCTGCTCACGGGTTCTCGCCTCCCCTGCCCCTATTCTCCCGTGTTTCCTCCTCTCCAGGTATGAGATCTGCAAGATGGCGGGCCTGTATGACATAGGCATCAAGGTGCACGGCTCGCGCAACGTGCGCAACGCCGGTGAGTCTGCTGCCCTGGTGTGGGGCGTATCTGCTGGATGCATGGGTGAATGGATGTCCGCTGGTGCCGGTGCCCCGATTTTACCGCCGACCACCACATTCCTACTTTTGTGCCGCCTTCTGTCCCGCCCTGCAGTCAAGTGCGTGTTCAAGGCGTTCGATCAGATACGCACCGAGGAGGACTTTGCGGACGAGGCGCAGGCGGCGGGGAAGCTGGTGGCGAAGATGCCGCCCGGCCGATACCGCAACCTGCGCATCTAGGTCCAGCCGCCGCGACGCAGCACTCACTGCTTGTTGCAGTGCTGGCTGCCTGAATGCTTGCCATCAACCTGGTGTAACCAGCTGGGCCGATTGGCCATGGGAGACGCACACTGGTGCGCCGTGCACAGGCGGCGGCGCCCAGGTGGAAAGATGGCATGCTGTTTTCTTTTCAGCGGCAAGAAAGAAGCGACTCTTGAAGACTCGTTTGTGGCGCCTGCAGGGTTTGCTGTTCCGCCAGCCTGCGCGCCGCACACGCTGACCCTGGCCTCGCCGCTTTCTGGGCCCTCCCAAGCCGCTGGGTACTCCGCCATCTTCCGGCATCTGCCCCCGCCTGACCAGTCTGCCGCCGGGAGCGTGCGCAGCGGGGTGCCATGGAGGTGCACACCGGCCAGGAGCAGCCGCCGGAGCTGGAGGCCCTGCCTGGCCAGCAGCATGGTGCGCCGGGGGCCGAGCTGCTCGCGGTAGGCGGCCACGAGATTGCGCACACGGCGGAGGGGCAGGAGCAGCAGGTTGCGCTGAACACGGCAACGGCGCTCGGCGAGGTTGCGGCGGCGGCAGGAAAGCACACGCTAGGTGCGTGCTGCACAAGAGCGCAGCCTTGCCTGCTGCCTTTCTGCGCTCGCCGCAGCCTGCCTGCCTGCAGGCCGCCGCAGCGCCATCGCTCCCCGCCGCCTGGTGTCGCCGCCTGCCGCCGCGGCGGCACCCCCTGCCTCCTCCACCCCGCACCCCACGCCCTCCCCTGCCACCCTTGCTGCAGAGGATGAGGCAGCAGGCGACGAGCACGCCGCCAAGCGGCTGCGTGTGGACGAGGGGCATGGCGAGGGCCTGGCGATAGCGGACGGGGCGCCGTCTGAGGAAATGGACTTAGCGATGGCAGCGGCCCTGGCGGCTGCAGCAGCCGGTGCCTCCGCCGACGGCACCGCGGCAGCGCCGAGCGACGAGGCGGCGGCGACGGAGGAGGTGGCCGCGGCGGCCGCCGCGCAGCTGCTGCAGCACCAGCAGCAGCAGCAGCAGCAGCAGCAGGGCGGCGCGGTGCCGCTCCCGCTGGACCCCGCGGCGGCGGCGGCGCTGGGCATCACCCCAGAGCAGCAGGCCCACATGCAGCAGCTGATGCAGTTCCCGCTGCTGTCGCCAGAGGCGCTGGCAGCCGCCTCCGCCAACCTGCCCACGGGCCCCGACGGCCAGCCGCTGCCGCTGGCGCTGCCGTTCATGGGGCCCGGCGGCGAGCACCTGCCGCAGCTGGCGCTGGACGCCTCCGCCCTCAACATCCCCATCCTCGCCCCGGACGGCTCACAGCTCACCCCGGAGCAGCTCATGCAGCTCTTCTCCTCAAACGCCATGCCTTTTGTCATCCCGCTGGCCGCGGGCCAGGGCCTGCCGCCCGGCATGACCATCGGACCCGACGGCAACCCGGTGTACAAGAACTGGTGGGACGAGAAGGACGAGAAGGTGGGGCGGGCTGCGGCGTGCTGGCCCTGCTGCTGCGCTCTGCATTCGTGTCATGCCTGGGGGCCTGGGGGCAGCCGCTGCCTCGCCGGCCCGGCCTGCCTCTGCCAGCCAGCCAGCCAGCCAGCCTGAGGCCATGCATGCCCTGGCCCCTGGCCCCTGGCATCCCCCACGGTGCGTCCTGCGCGCTGACGCTCTTGTTTGGGGTCGTGGGCGCTACCGTTTGACGGTACCATTTGGTACTGCAGGAGCTGATCAACCTGGTGGAGGATCCTGTGTACCGCCACGAGAAGCTGGGATCCGAGGACCTCGATTGGGACAAGATTGCCACCCACTTTGGAGGGCGCAGGTGCGCTCTGGGGCCGTGCCTGCTGACGGTGCCGCCATGCGCCCCTCGTGTGAGGGCAGGCGTGCGCCGGCGCGGGCGCAGGAGGCTGGCCGGCTGTGCAGCAGGCTGCATGTTGCCCCGCTGGCTCACCACGGGCCCCTCTGCGCTGCTCCCTGCTCCCCCCGACGCCTCGGCGTGCAGCCAGAATGCGCTGCGCAAGAAGTATTGGACGCTGACCAAGAAGCAGGCGGCGGGGGTGGACAGCGATCCAGAGGCCATGAAGCTGACAGGTGGCTGCGTGGCTGGGGCTGCGGGTGGGGCAGGGGCAGGCCGGCAGGCTGCGTGGTGCCGGCCGGCAGGCACAGGCTGCCTCCACCTGGGCGTGGGCGGCTGTTGGGCATTGCGCTGGCCCTGGGCTGCCTGTCAGCTGCACGGTCTCCTGGCCGCTGCCCCGCCCGCCTGCGCCCCACCACCTGCCGCCCGCCTGCGCCTGCGCCTGGCCCCGCCTGCCCCCTGGCTGCAGTCGTTGACCCCAACAAGAGGCCGCGTGCCGACCGCAAGCTTTGGACGGATGAGGAGACGCAGGAGCTGATGAGGCTGGCGACGGTGCGGCGGGAGGGCGGCTGCGACTGCTGGGCTGCTGTGTGCTTGTGGCTGCTGCTGTGCAGGCTGGGCGGGGGAGCCCTGCTGTGCACTCTGGCCTGTGGGAGCCTGTCATCAACCCTGTACCGCTGCCTTGAGATGCACCTCTTTACCGCCCTCCTTCGCCTCCTCATGTGCCGCCCCATGCTGTACCGCGCCTTCTGTACCGCCTGCAGGACTCCACGTACCGCGCCCAGCTGCTGCCCCTGGACGAGAGCGCCGGCGATGCCGAGATGTGGGAGGCCATCTCCACACACTTTGCCTGCACGTGCGTTGCGCCGCTTTCTGCTCCGTCTGCCGCCGTCGGCTGCATGCGCCGTCGGCATGTGTGGCTTGCGCTGCGCCCTACCACCTGGGCTGCTGCCCCTGCCTGCCAGCCAGGGCCTGCGTCCCCTCGACGGTCGACCCATCCCCTGCCTGCTTGCTTGCGTGCTTCCTTCCTTTCTTGTTGCCGCAGCGTGCAGACCGCCAAGCGCAAGTACCGCCACTCCCTGGAGGCGCTCAACAACGGCACGCTGGGGGCGGAGAAGGGTGAGCAGAGCAGGGCGGGGCGGGGCCGCCGACCTCCCCGCTGCCGCGCCGGACCTGTCCTGCCCAATCTGCACTCTGCGCTGCCATGGTGCCGCAGCAGCCAGCCACTCGCCTTTGTGGAGGCATATGCACCACAACACGCCAGAGCCCGCACCTCCACCACCACCATTAACACGCATTGGCTCACTCCCCTTCGAGCTCCCTGGGTCCCGGCCCTGCCCGCAGGCAAGCGCCAGCACCACCGCAAGAGCACGCCGTACCGCTGGATGATTGTGTCGGCGCTGTCGGAGCTGCCCAACAACCAGGTGGGGGCTGGCTGGCGGCGCTGGGAGGGTGGCTTTCCCCTGCTTTGGGCCTGGCTGGCAGCGCCGGCCCAACTCTTTGCCTCCCCGCTGTGCGCCCCAGCACCACTGAATGCACAGACACGCACATGGCTGCCTGGACCTTTGTTTTCAGTCTGGTTTTGTGCACGCTCCTCATCCCCTCCCTGCCACCACAAACACAGACGCACCTGCCTTGCCTCGCCTTGCCCTGCCCCACTCCGCTGCTGCCCCCTTGCCTGCGCCCCGCAGGGCACCGCCCCCGACATCTTTGAGCGCATCGAGAGCAACGCCTCCTTTGTGGAGCAGCTGGACGTGCGCATCATGCCCGGCACCAAGCACGTGCCGCGGTGGGTTCCAGTTTACAACAATGTTAATATGCATGGTGGAATAAATGATGGTTGCTTTCCAGCTGCCTGGTGCTTTGGTGGGCCTGCAACCAGCTGAGCATGCAGCATGGGGCCAGCGCCTCGCTGGGCGCTCGATGCTGCGCCCCCAGCTCTGGCATGGTCCCCTCCCCCGTGGCGGCGCCTCCAGCCCTGTCCTTAGCCCTCCAGGGCTTCCTGTGAGCCCCCCGACCCTCCACCCCCCCGCGCCCGCCCCGCCCGCAGCTGGAAGATCCAGGTTCGCAAGGTGCTGAGCGCGGACAAGATCTTCCAGCACACAGGCATGAAGCAGAAGCACGAGACGGTGTGGCGGCTCAACCAGGTGGGAGGGAGGGCCCGGGCATGGGCGAGGCGCGGCGCCGTGTGCGTGTGGCGGTGGCGGTGGCGGCGGCGGTGGTGGTGTTGGCGGTGGTGGCGGTCGCGGTGGCCTGTTGGTGGTGATTGGGTGGCTCAGAGGCAGTGGCCGGCCGGCAGGTGGCGGCGATGCTGCTTGTCGCGCGCCGGCGCGAGCGCAGGCCGGCGCCACTTGCCTCTTCCGTGCATCTGTGCGTCCAACGTGCCTCCCTCCTCCCCTCCTGTCTGCAGCACGAGCTTCAGGAGGCGCAATCCAGCAGCCGCAACGCGGGGCGCCTGCCGCCTGCCGGGGGCCAGGCGGCGGCGGCCGCCGCCACCATGACCGCCATGCCCGGCATGCAAGGGGGGTACGACCCCGAGGCGGCGGCGCAGGCCATGGCGGCAGCAGGGGCGCCCGCCCAAGGTGCGCTTGCCTCGCCTTTATGGCGCTGCTCCTGCCCTGCTCTGTAGCCCCCACTTGTGCGCTTCGCAGCCGCGCCTCTGAGCGCCGCGGGCTGCTGCTGAGGCTGCTTGCTCCCACCTGCCAACCAACGGCTGCCTCGCCCGCCGCCGACCAACCCCTGCCGCTCCCTTGCCTCCCTCCCTGCTCACCTGCAGACGCAGGCGGCGGCGCCTCCACCCTCACCCCCCAGGAAATCGAGGCCATGCAGGCCAACGCGGCGGCAGGCGCGGAGATGAGCCAGGCGCAGCAGATGGCGCTGGTGCAGGAGCAGATTGCGGCGGCGCTGGCTGCCGCGCCGCTGGCCATCCCGCCAGACCAGCTGCCGCAGGTGCGCCAGGGGTGCTTGGTGAGGCGTGCACATGTGTGTGTGCGCGTGTATGAGAGATGTTTTCGGTTGTGTGTGTTTTGGGAGAGGTGCTAGTGAGGCTTGTTGCAAGTGGCAGGCCTGCCCTTTGGGCCGGCCCCAGCCTGCCTGCCTGCCTGCCTGCCTGCCAGCCTGCTGCCTGCCTGCCCGGCGTGCCCCTTCCACCCAGCCTTCCGACCCCGCACGACCCCGCACCCCCTGCCTGCGCTGCCCCCGCGCCGCTGCCGCAGATGTCCGAGCTGGGGCTGCAGGGGGGCGTGCAGCCGCTGGACCCCCACCTGCAGGCCGCCCTGCAGCAGATGGCGGCGCAGCAGATGGCGGCGGCGGCCGGCGGCGGCACGGCGGTGGGCGAGCCCGCCCCCGGCGACCACGCCCATGCCCACGCCCACGCGCACGCCCACGGCGACGGGCACGGCGGCGGCGGCGTGGCGGTGGCCGAGGGCCAGCCCGACCCGCACCACCACCACCAGCAGCTGCCGCAGATGGGGATGGATCTGTCGCACCTGGACCACGCCACGCTGGCGGCCATGGCGGCCGCGGGCATGGCGGCGGAGCACCACCCGCACCACGGCGGCGCCGCGGGCCTCACGCTGCCCATGGTGCACACGGTGGAGGTACCGGCGCCGCTGGAGGACCACCACCAGGACCACCACCAGGACCACCACCAGGACCACCACCAGGACCACCATCGCTCGATGCAGGGGCAGTAGGTTGCCGGGCAGCACAGCCGGGCGCAGCCTCGTGCCGGTGAGCGGGCGCGCCAGGGCGCGGCTCCCTCCAGCCCGGCCCCGCCGGCGGCCTCGGCGACATGACTGGCAATGGCAGGCGCCGCCTGGCGGCGGGCAGGCAAGGCATGCCCAAGCCCCTTCACGTTCAGACCGTCTTTTCTACCTGTTTCCTTTTGCTCAGTCTGCCCGTGCCTTGTGCTCTGACTGATTGTCTTGCCCCGCACCCCACTGACCAACCACCTGACCGTTACACCCCATCTGCTGTGCCGCTGTTCCCGCACCATTGTGCTGGTCTCATGTGCTACCCTGCTTGCCCTGATGGCCCTGCCTGCATGTCTCCACGCCCTGCCTGTAAACGATCGTTTGAATATTGGTTTCATAGCTACAATGGGAGGAGGAGGCAGCTGTGCTGAAAGATCCGGAAGCGCCTACAGGCAAAAGGCACACATAGGCAAACAACGGCATCGGCAACGCGCTGACTGCCAGCCTTCTCTGCTGCCTGCTGGGCACCGGCGGTGCAACTGGGATGCCTCATTCTGCAACCGGGATGCCTGATGTGCCTGCTAGATGCCACATGAGGCAACCGGGGCGCCAGATGCGGTGACCGGGATGCCGCGCTGACTGCCAGCCTTCTTTGCTGCCTGCTGGGCACCGGCGCAGCAGATAGGTTGCCTCGTTCTACGACTGGGATGCCTGATGTGGCTGCTGAATGCCGTGTTGCCTGCCAGCCTGCTCCGCTGAATGCTGAGCACCGGCGCTGCAACTGGGTTGCCTCGTTCTACGACTGGGATGACTGATGTGGCTGCTGGATGGCACACGGAGTGACTGCTGCGCAAATGTGCCCAGGACCTGGTGATTCAGCATCCAGCGGCAGCCAGCAGCAGCAAGGCCCTGGATGCAGCGCCACAGCCGCTCGATTCGGCATCTCAGGCGCCAAACTTACTAACTTGTGGTTCAACTTGTGGTTCAGCAGCCAGCAGCCAGCGGCAGCATGCGGCAGCCAGCGGCAGCAAGGTCTTTAATTCAGTGCCTCAGGCGCCCGATTCGGCACCTCAGGCGCCGAATGCTGCGCCTCAGGCGCCGAATGCTGCGCCTCAGGCGCCTGATTCTGCACCTCAGCCGCCGAATGTGGGGCCTCGTGGTTCAGCATCCAGCAGCCCGCAGCAGCCAGCGGCAGCCAGCGGCAGCAAGGCACCCGATTCGGCACCTCAGGCGCCGAATGCTGCGCCTCAGGCGCCGAATGCTGCGCCTCAGGCGCCTGATTCTGCACCTCAGCCGCCGAATGTGGGACCTCGTGGTTCAGCATCCAGCAGCCCGCAGCAGCCAGCGGCAGCCAGCGGCAGCAAGGCACCCGATTCGGCACCTCAGGCGCCGAATGCTGCGCCTCAGGCGCCGAATGCTGCGCCTCAGGCGCCTGATTCTGCACCTCAGCCGCCGAATGTGGGACCTCGTGGTTCAGCATCCAGCAGCCCGCAGCAGCCAGCGGCAGCCAGCGGCAGCAAGGCACCCGATTCGGCACCTCAGGCGCCGAATGCTGCGCCTCAGGCGCCGAATGCTGCGCCTCAGGCGCCTGATTCTGCACCTCAGCCGCCGAATGTGGGACCTCGTGGTTCAGCATCCAGCAGCCCGCAGCAGCCAGCGGCAGCCAGCGGCAGCAAGGCACCCGATTCGGCACCTCAGGTGCCGAATGCTGCGCCTCAGGCGCCGAATGCTGCGCCTCAGGCGCCTGATTCTGCACCTCAGCCGCCGAATGTGGGACCTCGTGGTTCAGCATCCAGCAGCCCGCAGCAGCCAGCTGCAGCCAGCGGCAGCAAGGCACCGATTCGGCACCTCAGGCGCCCGATTCGGCACCTCAGGCGCCGAATGTGAGACCTCGTGGTTCAGCATCCCGCAGCCCGCAGCAGCCAGCGGCAGCAAGGTGCCCAATTCGGCACCTCAGGCGCCGAATGCTGCGCCTCAGGCGCCTGATTCAGCACCTCGGCCGCCGAATGTGGGACCTGGTGGTTCAGCATCCAGCAGCCCGCAGCAGCCAGCGGCAGGCAGCGGCAGCAAGGCACCCGATTCGGCACCTCAGGCGCCGAATGCTGCGCCTCAGGCGCCTGATTCAGCACCTCAGCCGCCGAATGTGGGACCTGGTGGTTCAGCATCCAGCAGCCCGCTTCAGCCAGCGGAGGCAGCGGCAGCAAGGTGCCCGATTCGGCACCTCAGTCGCCGAATGCTGCACCTCAGGCGCCGAATGCTGCGCCTCAGGCGCCTAATTCTGCACCTCAGCCGCCGAATGTGGGACCTGGTGGTACAGCATCCAGCAGCCCGCAGCAGCCAGCGGAGGCAGCGGCAGCCAGGTGCCCGATTCGGCACCTCAGGCGCCGAATGCTGCGCCTCAGGCGCCGAATGCTGCGCCTCAGGCGCCTGATTCGGCACCTCAGCCGCCGAATGTGGGACCTCGTGGTTCAGCATCCAGCAGCCCGCAGCAGCCAGCGGCAGCCAGCGGCAGCAAGGCACCCGATTCCGCACCTCAGGCGCCGAATGCTGCGCCTCAGGCGCCTGATTATGCACCTCAGTCGCCGAATGTGGGACCTCGTGGTTCAGCATCCAGCAGCCCGCAGCAGCCAGCGGCAGCCAGCGGCAGCAAGGCACCTTATTCGGCACCTCAGGCGCCGAATGCTGCGCCTCAGGCGCCTGATTATGCACCTCAGTCGCCGAATGTGGGACCTCGTGGTTCAGCATCCAGCAGCCCGCAGCAGCCAGCGGCAGCCAGCGGCAGCAAGGCACCTTATTCGGCACCTCAGGCGCCGAATGCTGCGCCTCAGGCGCCGAATGCTGTGCCTCAGGCGCCTGATTCAGCACCTCAGCCGCCGAATGTGGGACCTGGTGGTTCAGCATCCCGCAGCCCGCAGCAGCCAGCGGCAGCAAGGTGCCCAATTCGGCACCTCAGGCGCCGAATACTGCGCCTCAGGCGCCGAATGCTGCGCCTCAGGCGCCTGATTCAGCACCTCGGCCGCCGAATGTGGGACCTGGTGGTTCAGCATCCAGCAGCCCGCAGCAGCCAGCAGCAGCCAGCGGCAGCAAGGCACCCGATTCGGCACCTCAGGCGCCGAATGCTGCGCCTCAGGCGCCTGATTCTGCACCTCAGCCGCCGAATGTGGGACCTGGTGGTTCAGCATCCAGCAGCCCGCAGCAGCCAGCGGAGGCAGCGGCAGCAAGGTGCACGATTCGGCGCCTCAGGCGCCCGATTCGGCGCCTCAGGCGCCGAATGCTGCACCTCAGGCGCCGAATGCTGCGCCTCAGGCGCCTGATTCTGCACCTCAGACGCCGAATGTGGGACCTGGTGGTTCAGCATCCAGCAGCCCGCAGCAGCCAGCGGCAGGCAGCGGCAGCAAGGTGCCCGATTCGGCACCTCAGGCGCCGAATGCTGCGCCTCAGTCGCCGAATGCTGCGCCTCAGGCGCCTGATTCTGCACCTCAGCCGTCGAATGTGGGACCTGGTGGTTCAGCATCCAGCAGCCCGCTTCAGCAAGCGGCAGCCAACGGCAGCAAAGCACCCGATACGGCGCCTCAGGCGCCGAATGCTGCACCTCAGGCTCCGAATGCTGCGCCTCAGGCGCCTAATTCTGCACCTCAGCCGCCGAATGTGGGACCTCGTGGTTCAGCATCCAGCAGCCCGCAGCAGCCAGCGGAGGCAGCGGCAGCAAGGCACCCGATTCGGCACCTCAGGCGCCGAATGCTGCGCCTCAGGCGCCTGATTCAGCACCTCAGCCGCCGAATGTGGGACCTGGTGGTTCAGCATCCAGCAGCCGCTTCAGCCAGCGTAGGCAGCGGCAGCAAGGTGCCCGATTCGGCACCTCAGTCGCCGAATGCTGCACCTCAGGCGCCAAATGCTGCGCCTCAGGCGCCTGATTCTGCACCTCAGCCGCCGAATGTGGGACCTGGTGGTTCAGCATCCAGCAGCCCGCAGCAGCCAGCGGCAGGCAGCGGCAGCAAGGCACCCGATTCGGCACCTCAGGCGCCGAATGCTGCGCCTCAGGCGCCTGATTCTGCACCTCAGCCGCCGAATGTGGGACCTCGTGGTTCAGCATCCCGCAGCCCGCAGCAGCCAGCGGCAGCAAGGTGCCCAATTCGGCACCTCAGGCGCCGAATGCTGCGCCTCAGGCGCCTGATTCTGCACCTCAGCCGCCGAATGTGGGACCTGGTGGTTCAGCATCCAGCACCCCGCAGCAGCCAGCGGCAGGCAGCGGCAGCAAGGCACCCGATTCGGCACCTCAGGCGCCGAATGCTGCGCCTCAGGCGAT